ACACACACACACACACACACACACACACACACACACACACACACACACACACACACACACACACTCTATCTCATATTTTAAACGATTCTAGATTTCCCTGGGCCAGGTTGAGTGTACCGTGGTGTGTACTGTAAGACCGTGCATCGACACCACACCGGAGTCAACACTGGTGGCTGTTGAACTACTGGCTGAACCGTTGTCACTCATGAAAACTATGACTGTGAAGGTGACAATCCATATGTGCGCGACGGCAGCGGCAGCGGCACGGCAGCGGGACGATAAAAATCGCTCCAACAGAAATATCAATGTCTAAATCCATAAGTGCGGGACGGCAGCGGGACGATAAAAATCGCATCCAGGAGCGATTCTGCCGCTGCCGCAGCTCTGCCGCAGACAAAAATATGAATGTGGCGGAATAGGGTTGACTGTGAAGAATCTCTGTGTGATGCAGTCAATTCATTTGACACGGAAAACTTGCTGAAGCCATTGCACCCCTATGTCGTCGTTCATCCACCCATTTTCTTGATATGCCCAAATGGTGCCTTCTGGGCTGTCCTGAATGGCAAAGGAATGGATGGACCTGTCGTTATGCTAGTGAAAAAAGATCAAGATAATTGCAACTTTACAATACTGGCGAAGTCGTGGCGAATTTACCCGACAATTGGTAACCTTAGTAAAAATGTATTTATTTAATTAAATTGATTGAAATAACAATTAAATACCTGTACATAGAGATAATAAAGCAGTTAATATCGCACATTTCGTCCCGCTGGCGTTCCGCTGCCGCACATATTTATTTAATGTGACTTGCGGTACCGCACATATCGTCCCGCTGCTGTGCCGGTGCCGCTGCCGTCCCGCACATATGGATTGTCACCTTGAGGCGCCCTCAATTGGAAACCGGTGTTTGTTTGTTTGTTTGTTTGTTTGATTTTGGTAAGTGTTTTATGGCGCTCCCAATTGCATAAGGTCATTCGAGCGCGCGGGACACACCAAACATTTTCAAGTGGTAGGAAATTTTGAATTTTGTCCGGGTGGCGGCTGAAGCTTACTCTTATCGATTTTGGACCACCAAGGGATCCTTAACGTGCGCAACTTGCACACGGAAACTCTGAGATTTTTCGCCCTTGTCCAAAAAGGCCAGGTGTAGATCTTTCCTACCGAAGACCAGGGGTGTGGATGAAAGTAAAGACAACAGTAAGAAGAGGCTATGGAGAAGCAATGGAAAGGCTGCAGAAAGAGTCAGGAGCCCAGAGGAGGGGGCTAAGGAGGTGAGGGGGTAGGGGCAGAAAGTGGAGATGAAAGCAGACGACAGAACATTGGTAGAGATCAGGAAAGGACGTGAAAGGACGCCACCCCCCCCCCCCCCTAAACAACGTAGTTAATCATGAATGTGGTCCCCAGTAAAACTGATTATATTATATTAATGAAAACAAAACTGCCCGACTTAAATTTTAACAACATCAATACAAAATGCACATGTAATATCTGACTCAGCTGGAAACAACAGATCTTACACGATTTCAGCCACATTTTCTCCTGTGTTTGTCCTTGAGATAATACTGAATTGTTTTATACGACACACGACGTGGACACCCTTGCCCGTACCTGACCTAGATTTACTTCCCAGCGAGGACCTCCAAAGTTAAAGTATTGTCGTCGTTTCCATTTATTCAGCTTTCCCATGCTCTCGACATAGAGCACACATTTAGCCTCGTAGTCATGGAGCAGTTAGTTTAGTTTTAGTAAATTTTCACGCCACTTGCAGTCGTCGTTTCCATTTATTCAGCTTTCCCATGCTCGCGACATAGAGCACACATTTAGCCTCGTAGTCATGGAGCAGTTAGTTTAGTTTTAGTAAATTTTCACGGCTCTTGCGACACAATAAGGTCACGTAAGGGCCGAAGACTAGAGGTGTGAAAGAGGAGTAACAAACACAAAACGGAGGAGAAATAAGAAAGACAGATGTTCGATAGGAGAGAAGGAGCAAACTCCACCAGAGCACCCGCCAATCACCCACTGTGGAACAGCTGACGCAGGGGTTCCCGCTCGTCCCTTCACAAGGGTCACAAACTGGCGGACTGCGGCCAACTTAACGTCCCCTACCTACTTAACTTTAAAATTTAGAGTTAGCGCGGCCAAAGCTTGGTCAATGTTTGGGAGAATGGTTTCCCATCTTCCCTGGGTTTTCCAGAATGTTCTCCCCAAGCGAGCCATGTGCCTTTGTGGTAGCTCGTGCTACATATCTGTGTGAAAAGCTCTTCCCCACCATGAAGTTTAATGCATCAAAATACAGCTTCCAAACTCCCAGTATAAACATCTTCAAACTGAAAGGGGCTCTCGTGGCTTAGAGGTTAAAGTGTTCGCTTCTCATTCAACTTCAATAGGTCCCGGGTTCGAATCCGGATAACGACGGAAAATTTTCTTCTCTAAAACTAAAATGTTCTCCTGTCATATCATTTCCTGCTCTCTAACAATGTTCTGTCATCTGCTTTCGTTTCTACTTTCTGCCTCCACCCCCTAACCTCCTTTGCCCCCTCCTCTGGGCTCCTGACTCTTTCTGCAGCTTTCCTACAGCTACTCCCTGGCTCTTTTTTTACTTCTGTCTTTCAGCCACACCCCTGATCTTCTGGTAGGAAAGATCTACACCTTGCCTTCTCGGAGAAAGGCGAAAAAAACTCGTTAGGTCCCGTTTGCAAGTTGATAAGAGTAGGCTTCGGCCGCCATCCGGGCAAAAATCAAAATTTCCTACCAACAGTTAAATGCTTAATGTGTCCCGCACGCTCATATGACCTTTTCGGTTTCGAGCGCTGTAAAACACTTACCTCCCCAAAAACAACAACAACAACAACAAAAGCCCTCAAACCATGATACTGAGGTTCTCACTGACTTGCTTCCTGCCTCAAGCTAGATGTGGGGGCTGATAATTGATATATGCAATACCCAGCGCCCCTTGGCAAGATCAGTTCAGTTCTGTTCGGTTTGCTAGCCAGATTGAGGGCGCAAAGCGGCTATCGTGGCAGTGGCACAAGCTGATCGCCCAACTCGTCGCCTCAAAATCAAACGCGTCTGTTTTCAGGCCACGAGTCGGGCGATCGGTTGGTTTGTTTTTGAGACGACGAGTCGGGCGATCGGTTGGTTTGTTTTTGAGACGATGAGTCGGGCGATCGGTTGGTTTGTTTTTGAGACGATGAGTCGGGCGATCGGTTGGTTTGTTTTGTTTTAGTAGAGGTTTTACGGCGCTCGCAACTCGATAAGGTCATATAAGCGTCAGAAGATTAGAGGTTTTACAAAAAGAGTAACAAACATAAAAAAGAAGGGGAGATAAGGACGATAGATGTTTGATAGGAAAGAAGGAGCAAACCACACCAGAGCACCCGCCAACCACCACTGATCAGTTGGTGATCGAATACATAGGCCTATTATTCTATGTATTATATATGTATTAGAGAACCGAGCCCCCAATGGGCATTCCGTTTTAGAGGCAGCTCTGCGATAAGGAAGAGGTAAGAAAGTTTTTTTTATCGAGCAATCTCAGGTCTTACTGCTGGGACATGGTATCTCTCTCAGTCCAGCCAGGGTTGGCCCTAACAGGGAGACAGGGTGAAAGTGGGAAGCCCCCTGACATAAAAAAGGCAACACAACAAGACAACATTTTACCACACCTGATTTTTTGGGATTTAAGACGAAAATTAGGATGAGAACTTCCAAGCAATCTAGACCTCATCACCTCTCTCTCTCTCTCTCTCTCTCACACACACACACACACACACACACACACAAACACACATACACACACCAGAAAGAGAGAATAAGAGACAGACAGACAGACACGAAAAGAAAGAGGGAGAGAGAGGGGTCAGTGATGTGGTCTAGTTTGGTGGTAGTTCGAGAGAGAGAGAGAGAGAGAGAGAGAGAGAGAGAGAGAGAGAGAGAGATAGAGAGACAGACAGACAGACAGACAGACAGACAGACAGACAGACAGACAGACAGACAGACAGACAGACAGACAGACAGACAGACAGAGATAGAGAGAGAGGGGAGGGGAGGAAAAAAGTAAAGAGAAATACACACAAACAAACAATAACCAAAGCCAACTCAGTCACAAGAATGGGTATTCAATACTTTATTTTGGTTACTATTGGAGGACAGAGCTGGTTTAGGGTGGCCATCCCTGCATGACTAAATTTGATTCATGGTCATAACTTGTTGTAATATTAATAATAATAATAATAGTAATAATATAATACCATCTCTGTTGCTAGTTCACAGCAGCAGTACCTAAACCACAGTCACGTGGAAACACTTTTTTTTATGAAACACACAGAGAGAGGAAACAAATATAAAATGTATAATATTCAATAACGATACTGAAAAAAAAATATACAGGAAAAAAAAACTGTTAAAAGAAAACAAACTGTGGTAACGTTTCGACGAAAACTCATGAGCGCAGACTTCGCACCGAGAAAAAAATCAAAAAATCTAGACACTACACTAAAACTAACGAAAGTAACAAAAAAATAAAAGGAAAACTAACCCACTTAATTCAATTTCGATACGTATAAAATACGTATACAAATCGAAAGTCGGTAGCTTCCTATCCCAGCCTGAAAACTGAACATCATTCCACAGTACTAGTACAACAAAAGTCCACTTTCACACTAAGCTGGTAGCTCGTAAATGAAGCACTAGTTATACGCTCCAAGAGTAAACCCCACAAGAGCTCATAACTATCGCATGAAAACAAAGGACTACAAAAAAAAAAGACAAAAAAGAAGGAAACAAGTAGAATGTCAGAATCATGCTCTATTCAGGTGCGTCTACCAGTCGCTTGTTCTAAACTTATTTTATGTTAAGCACTTCAACAAAGTGAAACATTTTGTACAATAAGATGCGGTATTGGGTATATCGTAAGCCATTATTTCTGGAGATTTGAAGGAAATAACAACAAAGTTTGGAGAAAAATGTTTGAAGTAAGTGGTAAAAAGCGATTACATCATACAATAGGATGATAAAATTTGTAGTTTAACTTAAACAAAAAAGATACAAAAGTTTACCCCAATTCCTTAGAGACCAGTATAATTATTCTTTACTCGTCATTATATAATTATGACACCAGGGATTAAATATATAGTAACCATCGTTTTTCCGGCATGTCCGACACAGCTGTCCTCTCATGGTTTAGCCGCGGTAGTTCATAAAGCAATAAGCACAGTAATAATAGCAAGAATGTCTTCTACTATTAGGCTACATCTGGCCAGTACAAGGAAAGAGGGCATAGAAAACAAAAACAAAAACAAAAAACAAAAAAAAAACCCAAATGAAATGCAGCTCATGCAATGGTATCTACCTGTCGCACACACAAGCACAGGCATTCCTCACACATTCTTGATCTTTTCCACACCCTGTCTCTCTCTCTTTTGTTAAAGATCTGATTGAGGTTTTCTCGAGTTCATTCAAATTCAGGTGAAAAGCTGTGTGTGGCCCACATGCGTGGACCTGAGGAACGGGTAATGAGGTTCACAAGTTCGGACAACATATTTCTCGAGTAATGAAGGAAGCCCCATTCCCCTTTTTCCATACGAAAAAAATTATACCCTTTGTTTTCCACACATCCACAGACCAGCCTCAAGGATAGGAACTCTATTAAAACTGTTCCTGTTTTTTAACAAGAACGATTGTTTCGTTATAAAGACAGACTGGCTTCCTGCTGTTTGTGGGAGCAAACATTTACATTTCATTTGATATTTCTGACAGATTGATGATTTAATGTAGTAGATGTTTTACGGCATTATCAACACAATTTGGTCAGATCTTCCTCAGGAATGGGCACATAAATCGTCAAATAGTCCAACCTGTGACACACTCATTTACTCCGTCACATAAAACTGCATTAAGAGACTTCATACAACTCAAGGATAGTGTCAATACATACATGTAAATTTAAGGAAAGGACAAAGGAAAAATAACAAACAGCAAACATTGGAAAAGTGGAACAAAAAGTCCCAAGCATCTACTCGTTTGATATTCACTCTAACTGTTTTCTCATAGTACACTACAGTGGCCTTGCAACAATGTAAACTTACATACTTCTGATTATACAGGCGCGCGCACACACACACACACACACACACACACACACACGGTCATGCCACAGGCACACGTTCCTAAAACAGACAACAACAAAGGGCATTCCATTCAGTCTTCTCAAAGAATTATCGATTTTTTTCCTTCTTTCTTGATTTATCTACAAGTCATGAGAGGGCATTGGTTAACTATACACATTGCTGGAAGAGCAAGAACAAAAGTGTGTGTGTGTTGTGTGTGTTCAGTCATCAAGTATTCTCATCCAAAGTGAGGAGCTGGGTAGACAGGAGTGGAACCACAAAATGAGAGTGAGACGGATAGATAGACGTATACAGACACGCCGCATCACCAAACAACTGGACATATATATACGGTAGCCCTCCCTCACACCACCAGTCGTTTGTGCTAAACAGTCAGTCACCACTACAGATAAACTTGCTGGGAACACTAGAATCATAGAACAAAGGAACAGGAGATGTTCTAACAACTCAAATGTTTCTAATCTATATCAATGTATAGTCTGCTTCAGGAATAGTCAACTTTGACAGTTCGAGCAAAAATCTCTCACCGGCAATCAGGCAGCAACATTAAGGGATAAGGTGAATCATGTTTAAGCTGTTACGTCCTTAACTGTGCCGCACGCCACATGTGGTCAGTCACGTTACAGAGTGGCGGCCTCCACGGGCCACTTGGCCAAACGCTAGTCAGGGATGGCCTCCGTCATGACCTCCATCACTAAAGCGAAATTCTCAGAGAGTGGAACAACAACCTGCTAACCCACGGCCCCGCTTCCAGTACGGTACCAAAAAAAAGTATTGCTTTCTGCACACACCCAAAAGAAACCTATCCGTCACAATGATTGTGGTGGTGGTTTTGGTCGTTATAGTGGTGTGCTTCAAATTCAGATAAGCGGTCAGTTGATCGAGAATATCTGCACAAGTGCAGCTGGGACAGTTTGTAAAATGGCAGTGATGACAGCGAGGGTCTCACCAATACTGAGAATTCCAACTGATAACAAACAGCATTTGTATAGCGCATATCACTGCTTCACAGAAAGCTCTATGCGCTTTACAATCTCCATACTAAGGTTATGACTTCCTCAGATTGCTAATAGCTCTTCCCTTGGGTCACTGATGGCAATTTTGCCCACACTACAAAAGAGGGTTGGCCTCCTGGCAGGCATTGTAAAGAAATGCGTGTGTGTAACGACTATGGACAGAGAAGTCCCACCATGGGGAAAAGTTTCTGCCTGGTCTCGCCTGGGACAAAGGACACGAGAGACACCAAAGGTAGATCCACAGCTTGACACAGCGGTACTTGTTGGTTCGCCAAAGTAAGAGCTACACTACTGTCTTTAAAAAATTACAAAAGGCAGCCACCATTCTGCATGCTCAAGCACAAGACGGAAAAGTGGTAGTGGTGGTGTATGGAAATGGAAAGAAGTTCACATGTTTTTCTGTCACTCTGGCACTTGCTGAGTGATTTCACCATACACCTAGGCTGCCATGTTGTCGGGTGTTCATTCCGTGTGTACAAACAATAAATAGATCAACACAAAAATATATCCAACTTTGTCCAGACATAAGAGTCCAATGTCAACAGATAGTATTACACTCAAATGTTATAAACACTCACATGCGAGGGCCCAAAAATGAGGCTCCACACACACGTACACTCAACAACAAATGGCTCAGCAGAGAGCCGGCAGCTTGAGTGTGTGGCTTGGTAACAAGGTGTCTAGACATTCTTTTCTCAAAACAAAGCCAGTTGACGAGGGACAAATACAAAATACCTACAGACTGTAGGGGGTGGGGGAGAGGGAGACGAGGAAGACAAGGGCTCTGAAAGGCTGTCTACTGAGATTGAGCAGGTGAAATGCTTGTACTGTGATGTTTTGTCACATCCATACAGAAAAAGGTGAAGGACGTATCGAGGGAGACGGGGCAAGACTACAACGGAGCACAGCATGAAAGGCACTGAGTGTTCGCAGATTGCATCATATCGGTCGTTCTAATCTTTTCTTCAAAATGAAATTTAGCCTTGCTTTCATTTCTCTCCATTAATACAAAAATGCCACATTCAACAGCTGTCACAACCAATTCCGCAAATACAATGAATGGGGGGAAACCAAAGACAAAAGTAGCCTCTTCAGTTTAAAAAAATGAGGCTAACAATTTTGAACCAACTTTTGAACATTAACCACAAAAGTTTTGATTACCGTGTAAAAAAAGAATACCCCGCTGAAATATCTCTGGTAACAACAATATTTATTATCATCAAGCTTCAAATATAAATGTTTGTGCATTAATATATTTCTAAGGAGAAGACTTGAAAACAGAGCCTCATAAAACTAACAAAGGACTACCACCTATAGATCATGAGATATAGTGTTAAAACAACTGTGCAAGTCAAATGCAAAATTCAATATCTCAAAATGATATGTGACCAGGCTCAAAAGTAACCCTTAGAGGACATTTTTTTTTTGGGAAAAATAAAACTACACACCAAGTACACTCTCTCTCTGTTTTACCACTACAACTTTCACAAAAACAATACAGAACAGAGAAAAAAAAAGAAACAAAACCAATTAGAATCGGGTCCAAAAACTCACAAAAACAAAACAAAAAAAAACAAACAAACCTATGAACCAATCACGACACACTAGCTGCTTGACACACTGTACAGTTTTAAAATTCTATCTACAGAACCCAACACTAGAGCATGGACCTGACACAAGCGACAGACATCCCCACTCAACTCAAAGTCCACACCCATGGCAGCCCTCACCCCGCACAGACCACCCCACAGAACACTTAGGAGGAACTCATCAGCAATAATGACATTATGTGCTATAGAAGAGAGAGAGAGAAAAAAAAAAAGAAGTATTTTTTAAACCCCTTTATGCTCGATAACTACTATCATCTTTTGCCATTTTCGTGTGGTTGTAAATAAACGATGAAATTTTCACCTTTCCTTTCAAAACGAGTCATCAAAGACTACACCACACTACGTGGAGGAATTAGTCACTTCATCCAACCTGAAAGGATGTACTTCACGACTTTGTACTTCACGACTTCGTACCTACAGACTGCCATTTCTCTGGACTAGCACCTCACAGTTGAGCCCTTTTTAAGAAGAAAAAACCCTGCTTGGAAGCTTCCCACAAATACAAGGATTTGGGAGGCCCTGTGATATGGAAGAGACTCCTGCATCAGACAAAGAGTGGGTCAAGGGGGAGTGGGGGTGGGGAGGATAGTCCAGGGTCGTTTAGAGAGGAAACGTGCACCAGACAGACCGTGAAAGAGCCAGAACGAGCAGGAGATAAAGAGAAGGAAGGAGAGAGGAGGAGGAGGTGGAGGAGGGGGAGAAGAGAGCCTAAATGAGACAACCCTAGCACCCCAATCGTGTGCGGGGAGCGGGGGAAGGATGGGGGCGGGGCGGTAGCATGGCGGCTATTGCCCGGTCGGCTTTTAGAGGTCACTCTCGCCATAGAGGGCTGTGGAGAAGGACATGTAGTCGAGGGCGCCGGGCACAGCGTCGCGGCCCGAGTAAGGAGCCATGCGCTGGATACAGTACTCAGCCTGGTCGGGAGGCAGCTCCTGGCGCAGGATCTGGGCTGTGATGAAAGGCTGCGGAGGGGAAAAAACATACACAGGTTTAGTCATTCGGCTTTTGGGCATTTCTCTGCTTAGTCATTCGGCTTTTGGGCATTTCTCTGCTTAGTCATTCGGCTTTTGGGCATTTCTCTGCTTAGTCATTCGGCTTTTGGGCATTTCTCTGCTTAGTCATTCGGCTTTTGGGCATTTCTCGGCTTAGTCATTCGGCTTTTGGGCATTTCTCGGCTTAGTCATTCGGCTTTTGGGCATTTCTTGGCTTTTGTTTTTCTTTCCAAAAATAATATCTTGGGCATTTTTTGGCCTGTTTAAAAATTTTAAAAAGTACTGTACAGATTGTTCAGCAACTCCCAATTAGCACAGTAAGGCCATTTAAAAGAAGAAATTTGCAAATTTCCCAATATCCCACCAGACACAGTAAAAGAAAAAAACAGTTTCTCTTCTCTCCTGAAAAATTGTACTTTCTGGGCTGAGAACAATTGAACGGCTTGCCGATGAAATGTTTCTTCTATAAACTCCATTTAAATGATAGCTGCCCTTGATGAGCTATATAACTCTTCAAAATTTGTCCTCAATTCTGTTGGGGTTTTTTTTTACCTTTAATATACTGATCTCTGCAAACACCTCCCTTCAGCAAATCCAGCATAACAATTTCAATCAAAACACCTTTCAGTATGATAGACATTTTTAAAAAAAAACCTCATACACATCAAGTACAACTGGCTAGAAAGAGATGTGTCTACTCCCTCCATCACACTGCAAGGACAAAGGTTCCCATAAAAATAGATAGCATTTGTATAGGCCAAATCCCTGCTCAACAGCAATCTCTATGCGCTTCACAATCTATACTATTACCCCAGCAGACCTGAGAGCACTCTGAAACAACCGCAACTTCCTGGGAAGCATACAGTGCAAGCAGCCATTTATAGGCACTAAAACACTAACATACTGACAAGATCTTTCGCTGTGTATGGCCGGGTACCCATTCCCACATGGGTGAAGTGAGGAAAATTCATGTAAAGTACCTTTCCCAAGGACAAAATGTAGGGCCCGCGACTCTAGCCCCCGAACCCACAACCTAACGATTACGAGTCCGGTAGCCTAACCACTTGGCCGCCGAAGCCATCTCACCTTGTCTCCAGCCAGAATCTTGAAAGACTGCATGACCTGCTCGGCTGTGTCTGTGTCGGCCGTCTCGCGGGTCATGAAGTCCAGGAACGCCTCAAACGTCACGTAACCCGTGCGGTTCGGATCCACGATAGACATGATGCGTTGGAAGTCGGCCTCGCCCTGGTGACACAAAGTGTTAGTTTTACTAAGTGTTTTATGGCACTTGCAACACATATAAGTGCCAAAGATTAGAGGTGTTACAAGAGAGTAACAAACACAAAAAAGAAAGAAGGGGGTGGGGGGGGGGTGGGGGGGTTATTATCAGCTCACTACCACAAAACATAACAAACCCAGGGTCTCACCTGCTTGTCATCTCTGATCTTGTAGCCCAAACTGATGAGGCAAGCCTTGAACTCCTTAGGCTCCAGCCTCTTGGTGCGGTTCTTGTCAAAGTGGTTGAAGGACATGCGGAACTCGTTCATCTGAGCCTCGCTGATGCCCTTGGAGTCTCTGGTCAAGATCTGGGGACAGAGAAAAGTGGGGTGTTTTGTTTTGTTCCGTTTTTGTTTGTTTTGGGGTTTTTTAATTTCTTTTTGGGGTTTACATGGATTTTTTAAAAACTGAGAGTTTACAGCACTTGCAATACAATTAGATCGTATAAGTGCCAAAAAAGAGGAGAGATAAGGATAATAGATGTTTGATAGGAAAGAAGGGGCAAACCACACAGGAGCACCCACCAAACAACTTCCAGCAAAGTGAAATGAAATATATCGTCATTGATTGAGCGTTGATGATAGGAAGATTAATTTGTGTGCTTACTTAGAGCGTACGTATGCATGTTCACGTTTTTGTGGGTTTTTTTTTGGGGGGGGGGGGTTTGTAGGTTTTTTGTTTCATTTTTAAAAAAAAATATTGGTGATTTTACCATAAAATCAAAATGCCGCTGATCAACTGCTTGATGATATCAGGGACAGAGGCTGATAGTGCCCACAGTCAAAAGAACATACCTGGTTTTCAACTTCATTCATGTTCCTGGCAATAGCTGTGAGCAGCTGTTCCCAACCAACTCTCAACGTCTGTGGGTTGAAGGAAAAGGGAAGAGGATTTTAAAAATCTGTTGTTTTAAAAAAAATATTTTCACAAGAAATTAAATAACCGAACACAGAGAGAGAAAAATCCTTTAAAGAAAACAAAACGACATTAGTTGTTCTATGTATGCCCATTCTACTTCTTGCACTCCACATTTTACTTTGTTTGGTGTTTTTTTTTTATTTAAAAAATAATTAATTAATCAATTATTTTTAAAAATAAATTAAAGTTTACTCAGCAAATTTGGAATCTTATGTTTACCAGAATTGAAAGTAGATTTAAGCTGAAATTGCTTTGAAATACATGTATACAAAATGTACTTCGTGGAACTGCAGGTTATTTTCATTAATTTTATTCATTGTATTTCTTTTTAATCATACTTTCACTTCATTTTTCTAACATGAACTTAATTAAACAATTATCAGACAAAACACTCACCTCCATTGTATATTGCGTATAGCGGTTCTCAAAGATCATGGCTTCCTGAACCTCCTGTAATGGGGAAGGGGGGGGGGGGTAAAAAATGTTGATGAAGGGAGGTAATACAATCAGGGGAAGTAACACCATGTTATCTGCCAAGTCAACATTTTATCGATTACTGCCGAGAGAATCAATACAATTCTCAAAATTTTCTCATGCACAAACTTCAGTAAGCCTGTCTAGTGACTTTCATTGTGTCTACAACGAGCAGTTTCACAAACTGGAATTTTCCCAAACAGGAATTGCCTTGGACATGTTAATATATCAACTTCATAACGCTAAACATGTCTGAAATTTCTTAACTAAACGATTAACCCTTTAACACTGACTGTCCTTGTCTTGGGGTGCGAGCTTGCTCAAGGAGCGTTTAGCGAGAGCAAGACTGCTGACACCCTACAACTACATGTTGTAGACACGCATCGCCTCCCTCGGGAGGTCTGGGTGCAATTTATGGGGGCCTCTACGGAGGTTGATAAAGCAAGAAGAGACTGGGACAATAACACAAAGGAATCTATTTGACACGTGATACTTTTTCAACGAATCGATTAGATACCGATACCTAGTAGGCCAACTTGATCAATAAAAAAAATTCCTTACCAATGCACACACAAGGCACCAAAAATCAACACATTAAACTGAGCCTTATAAACACTTAATCTGTGAAGGATTATCCTTCTCAAAATGTTCCCACACAATACTAGTCTTTCTTGATGTCATGTTGATTTATAGGCGAAGAGCATGTTTCTTTTTTTAACCTGATGTTTCGATTTGAAACAACAAACTTGAAAACAACAAACTTGAAAACAACAAACTTGAAAACAACAAAAGCATCAGCCCTTGGATCAGTGAATTGCCTAGGAAAAATTAGTCCTCATGTATCGATCCTTTTTTAACGTATCGATTCGATTCCAATACCAAGAAGTTATCGGGGTATTGATGCATCGAATCGATTCCCGCCCAGCACTAGAACAGACCTGATATTAATACCTTATTTCCCCCTCTGTCCTCTCCCCTCCCCCCTCCCCCCTCCGCTCTCTCCACTTAGTCTTACTTTCCCTAACCCAGTAAGAAGGCCTTGTTACATCAGCACCCCCGCAACCACTTGAGAACAGACCTGATCACATCCCATTCCCCCTCCTCCCAACACCACTGCCATCTCCCTATCCCAAGCACACAGAAGACCTCGTCAAATTTCTCCCTTCCCCTGACTCTTCTCAGATCTTGCCAAATTTCTCCCTTCCACCGACTCTTCCCAGACCTTGTCACATTTCTCCCTCCACCCTCTCTTCCTCTCTTCACATTTCTCCCC